ACATTGAGCTAACGCCATGCACCACCCACCTGATTGACCTGGTTTTGGAGGATGTGGGGAAGATGGACTGGGCGAAGAAGCTTGTGGACAGGGGGAACATCATGGTAAACTTCCTGCGCAAGCATCATTGGACTCGCGCGATGCTGAGGGACACGACGCTGCCTGTTGTCAGAATCATGAACGAGAATGAATGAACTATGAAAGAGTTGGGTACAAGTACTAACCCTAATTGGGTTGTACCCCTTATGGGCTACCCCACTATAGCCTACACAAAAGTAAGCAGTATAACATTTTGACACACCCCCATAGGGCAAGTGGGGAGAACAAGTGGTCACAAGACCAGTCAAGAAAAGCAAAGCAAGCTAAGGGTGGATCACAAAGTCACCACACAGTCCGAGCACAAGCAAAAGGGCCACAAGGCCAGTTCACATGCAGAGTTATATAAAAGAGAACAACAATACAGTGATCATACCCTAACAAGTGTAAGCATGCAAGTATATATATATATCACAGTACAAGCAAAGTCACGCAGTGAGCAAGTGAGGCAAAGTAGGCACAAGGCCTAACATATTAGAGAAGGGCTGATGATCACCAGGCGGAAGTGCCGTGGTGAATATATCAGCAGTGTTGGCCCTAGTGGACACGTACGCAAGACAAAGCTGGCCATGCTGCTACAACTCACGAGCAAGGAAGTATCGCAGAGCGATGTGCTTCGTTCTGTGCTCTAGTCTGTGCTCCTGACACAAGGCAATCATGGCCTTGTTGTCTACGTACAGAACTGGAGGTGAACTAGGCTGCTCTCCCAAGTCACTCAGCAGGTAGGTGAGCCAGCGTAGCTCCTGTGCAGCCATGGCCCCGGCGTAGATCTCAGCCTCACAAATGGAGCTGAGAACTGAAGACGAGCGGGTAGACCGCTAGGAAACAGAGCCACAGCCAAGGCTGAAGGTGTAACCCTGTGACGACGGCTGCGTAGCTGAGTCGTCAACCCAAGAAGCGTCTGCGTGACCAGTGAGGACAACTGGACCCCGTCCTCCAAGCACGAGCCCCATGCCCGATGTACTGCACAAGTAACGCAGTACCCTCTTCGCAGCATCCCTGTGCACCTTTCGTTGCCTACCGAGAGCCACATAGCGAGCCAGGAGGCTGAGAGGGTACGCAAGGTCAGGTCGTGTGCACGTCATCAGGTACATGAGGCAACCCACAAGCTCAGGGTACGGACGACTCGGCTCTACGGACTCGTCCGAAGGTGGAGCTGAGAGTGAGTGGCCGGTAGATGGAGGAGTGGGCTGTGGCGAGGAGAACTGGAAGCCGAAGCGCTGAAGGACCTGGTGCACCATGTGTGACTGAGTCAGTGTGATGGTGCGCCGTGCTCTGTCCCGGGTGATCTGCAAGCCAAGATAGCTGCGCTGTTCACCCAGGTCAGTGCAGGTGTGTCTCTTCTGCAGCTCGGACTTCACAAGGGTCAGTGCCTTAGTGACAGCAGTGGCAAAGACGAGGTCGTCTACGTACACGAGGACGTAGAACGGCGGCAGCGAGATGTCAGTGCGTAGAAACAGCGACGGGTCAGCAGTAGAAGGAGTAAACCCCAGAGCCGCAAGTGTAGTCCTCATTGTGTCGTGCCACTCGTGAGGCGCCTGGCGGAGAGTGTAGACTAGCCGTCGGAGGCTCCACTGGGTACCTGCAGGAAACAACCCACTGAAGCCAGGTGGGTGGCGCAGCGAGATCTCCTCGTGCAAGCTGCCATGCAAGAAAGTTGTGCTCAAGTCCAGAGAGTGCAACTCGTAGTCACGCTGAGCTGCGACGTGCAGCAACACCCGAAGAGTAGTCATCTTCGGGGTGGGGGAGAAGGTCTGGAAGAAGTCCACCCCATGTCGCTGACTGAAGCCTCGAGCAACGTAACGCGCCTCGAAGGCCGCTTCACCCTGAAAATCCACATGCCATCGACTATGTTCGCCCGAGACGGGGGAACTGCGTCAACGTAGGTGCCTGTGGACTTCCAAGATGCCATCTCGGCATCCATGGCTGCGTGCCAGTGAGAGGAGTAAGGACCCGTAATCGCCTCTGCGTAAGAGCGCGGGATCGGGATGTTTGGTGCATCCGGGTCTCCCTCAGGGGCAAGCAGCATGGAAGCGAAACGAGGTACAGCAGCTGCAAGACACTCAAAGTCCTCCTGCCTATCCTCAAGGACGTCCGTGCCAAGAGCACACTCACCCCCAACTGTCGAAGGACTGGCAGACTCGGACTCAGCAACAAGAGCAGTGGCGTAGTCTAGACGAGAGGCAGCAGCAAAGTCAAGTAGCTCAGGAACTAGGGCAGACGCAGCAGTGGACTCAAAAGAAGGGTCAGTGACAACAGGGGCGAGGAGACGAGAGACCGTAGGACTGGAAGCACGAGCGCGGTCAGACTCAGGGTCAGGGACGGCAGGAAGAGAGGACTCAGGAGGAGGCCGCAGAGGAACACGCAGTGACACAGAGGACGGACAAAATGCCATAGCGTAGGTGCCGGGGACAGGAGGAGGATGCGGACGAGGAATGCGCTGACCATTGCGAACAGGGGAGGCAGGACAAGACGCAGGCTCACGATGCTCTGTACGACCGCCGGTCTGCTCAGTGTAAGGAGAAGGACCAGGAAGTGGGGAGGCTGGCTGTAACGGCGGCTGCGACTGGTCAAGCGGCGGACACAGTAAGCGAGGAGGAAGGCCAGTAGAAGACGGGACACCAAGAACCTGCTGAAGCAGGGGAACAAAGTACGGTCGCAGCCGCACAGTGCCTTTAGCACCTCCAGCTCCAGGGTCAACAGCTCCAGCTCCTCTTGCTATAGCTCCTCCCGCGCCAGTGCCTCCAGCTCCAGCGCCAACAGCTCCAGCTCCTCCAGCGCCAGTGCCTCTAGCTCCAGCGCCTCCAGCCCCAGCAGCTCCAGGCTCTGTAGGGTCTCCAAATCCAGCGCCCCAAACACCACCAGTCCTGACAGCTCTTGTACCCCTGGTACGAGCACCTCCAGGACCAGCAGCTGCAGCACCTCCAGTACCACCAGCTCCAGCAGTAACTCCAGCACCTCCAGCTCCAGTGTCTCCAGCGTCAGAGTCTCCAGCTCTGGCAGCTCCACTCCGAAGGCGTGTGCGCTGAGTAAACCACTCGCGCAGCTGCTGCGTGGAGAGAGGCTCCGGCCGAGGAGACAGTCTTGGCGAAGCACCCGCAGGACCTCCAGAAGAAGCAGTACCCCGAGGCTCAGCACCCCCAGACTCCGCACCCGCAGGCTCAGCACCCCCAGACTCCACACCCGCAGACTCAGCACCCCCAGGCTGCGCACCCCCAGACTCATCACCCCTAAACCCGGCACCCTCAGACTAAGCACCCCCAGGCTCCGCACCCCCAGGCTCCACACCCCCAGACAAAGCATCCCCCGACGCAGCACCTCGAGCAGCACCTGAGTCGACAGCTACCTCAACAGGCACAGTACCAGGGAGAGGGTCTACCTGAGACACACCCGAGGGAGCAGGACCCTGGGGGGGAAGGGGGTCTACCAGAGGGGGACGTGTAGCAAGGAAGAGCGGCGGGGGTGGGAGAGGGGCAGAGCGGTAGGGGAAGAGACGGTAAAAGGGAACCGACTCGTCAAACGTGACATCCTGAGAGGGGAAGACACGGCGCGAGGTGGGGTGGTACAACTGCCAGCCAGGCGCGTTAGGGGGAAAGCCAAGGAAGACGCAGGGAATAGAACGGGCGGAGAGCTTGTCCGCGGACGTATCGCGAACAAAGGCACGAGAACCCCAGACCCGGAACACCGACGCATCGCCAACCTTTCCCGTCCAACGCAGTGTCCGGCAAGGAGACACGAGGCCAGAGGTTGAGTTGATGCGCAGCGTATCGGACCACAAATGGCCACAGAAAATGGGGAGCAGCCACATGGATCATGGAGGTACGAGCGACCTCCATGACTAAGCCAATGCGGCGCTCAGCAATCCCATTTTGGTGAGGGGAGGCTGGAAGTGTGAACGACAGGAGAATGCCCTCCCCACGACAAAATTCCCGCAAGAGGTCGGAGGAGAACTCACCACCTCTGTCAGAGTGCAGACGCAGGACAAGAAGGTCCTGGCGGAACCGCTCGTGGACTTCGCGGATCCAAGGGATCAAGACATCAGGGACCTCACCCTTGCTGCGCAAGGGGAAGACCGTGGTGTAACGCGTGTAGTTGTCAACAACCAGTAGAAAGTAGCGCTCGCGGCTCTGTCCACTGACGCGGGCTGGGCCCCACACGTCCATGTGGAGAGTCTGCAGGGGAGCAGTCGTCGGGGGAAATGAGGAGGAGTGAGCGGCAAGGACGACGGAAAGCAGGGCAGCGGGGCCCCCGTGCGACGGGCAGAAAACGGTCGCACGCTGGGGGTGAGCGACGGGCAGAACACCGTCGCGTGCTAGGGGCGCGCGATGGGCAGAAAACCGACGCACGCCCAGGGCGTGCGACGGGCAGAAACCGCCACACGCCCGGGGTTTGTGACGGGCAGAAACCGCCATACGCCCGGGGCGTGCGACGAGCAGAAAACCGACGCACGCCTGGGGCGTGCGACGGGCAGAAACTTACGCACGCCCGGGGCGTGCGATGGGCAGAAACTGACGCACGCCTGGGGCGTGCGACGGGCAGAAACCGACGCACGCCCGGGGCGTGCGACGGGCAGAAACCGACGCACGCCCGGGGCGTGCGACGGGCAGTAACCGCCATGCGCTCGGGGTGCGTGACGGGCAGAGGTGCTGCATGACGGGCAGCGCGACTGGTGAGCCCATTAAAGTAGGTCCTAGGTAGAACCTCACCCTGATAACATGTCAGAATCATGAACGAGAATGAATGAACTATGAAAGAGTTGGGTACAAGTACTAACCCCAATTGGGTTGTACCCCTTATGGGCTACCCCACTATAGCCTACACAAATGTAAGCAGTATAACATTCTGACACCTGGGGGTAAGGTGCTGCAGGCGTTGCGTCCAGCTTTGGCACTCAGTACATTGCGATGTCGAGGTTGTGCGAGTTGGAGCAGAAGCTGATTGTGCTCGTGACGGGCGACCTGTGGAAGGGGTGGGTGGTGGGGGACAGGGAGGAGGGGGCCGAGAAGTTTGCAAAGGAGGTGATTGATACGGCTTGGTGGAATTCTGCTGCCTTCTTTGTGAATTTGCTGCAACAACCCTATAAGGTGATGCACATGATGGATTCGACTAGACATGGGATGATGGGCCACATGTACGACCTCATGCTGCAGCTGTCGGAAGATATGGAGAAGGTGCTGGATGCGGATGAGCAGCAGCTGAGCAGGGTGGAAAAGTTGCGGATCTCACGCATTCTGAAGGACCGCTGGGACAACAGCCTCGCATGTGCCGTGCACGTGGCTGGCCGGATCTTGAACCCGCTTAACCAGGACGAGGAAATATTCGGGGTCGATGTGGAGTGCACCAAGGTCTTTAAGGAGTTCATTGCGCGCGCCCAAGACTTCTACAAAAAGTATCCTGCCATGAGTGGAGTGGTGGGGAGGGAGGTGGACTTGGAGGCGGCTGTGACGGCGTACTTGGAGTCGAGGGGGAGTTGTGGGATGCCAAAGGCTATGGAGGCCCGGGAGAAGGTGAAGCAAGGGAAGCAGACGATGGAGCTGTGGTGGATGTGGCATTGCACTGAGTGGCCTGAGCTGGCGCGCCTTGCACGTCGTGTTCTGTCCCAGCCCGTATCCGTCGCATCATGCTAGCGGAACTGGTCTATGTGGGACTTGGTGCACACTACAAGGCGCAACAAGCTTGGCTCAGTGAAGTGCCGCGACCACATTGCAAGGCGCAACAAGCTTGGCCCAGTGAAGAGCCGCAACCTTGTTTACGTTGCGCACAACTGGAACGTCGTGCACAACTTCCACAAGGGCCCACGGGTTGGGGTTGTGAAGGGGAACATCCCTGAGGCTCCTATTCCCGAGGGGTATGTCGTGGAGGACGAGGAGGAGGAGGCAGATGAGGCGGATCCGAAGGTGCTCGAGGACGAGTACGAGAAGTACCCGAAGAAGCCGTAGAGGTGAAGGGCGGGATAGTGATTGTGGCATGCTTTAGTACTTGATGGGTGATCGTGGGATGATATTTAAGTGGGATTCGATGGGGGCGGATGGTGGTATTAGTAATGTTGAGAACTATGTATGCATGGTACTATTTTTGGAGGATTTTTTTGGAGGAAAAATCACATTGTTGGCTGCCAGAAGGCTCAACAACCCTCTTACCTTCCTCCCCCCCCCCCCCCCCCCCCCCCCCCCCCGAAACCCACCCCCCCCGGTTTTTTTTTGGCTGCCCGAAAGTTTTGTTTTGCCTGCCCGCCAGAGCGTCAAAACCACCGTCAAACTCTCGGAGGGTTCCGTCTAGCGTAAAAAACGGACCATAAAAAACGATCCGTAAAAAACGCTAGCTCTGTCAATTCGAACTAAGCCACCGTGGTCCCCCTATGCCTCTTATGCATCAAAACTAAGCCAATTCGACGGGTTTGGTCGACCTGCACAGGGCCACTGCGAAGCCGCCGATGACGTGAAGCCGGCGGATGACTTAGACTGTGGTCGACGAAGGGAGTCATCGACCTGGGTGGGGCGCCGACTTGGGGGCGCCGACCTGGGGAAGCCGACTTGGTGGAGATGGCTAACAGCTAGTCAGTTTGACCTGGTGCTGGTTTACTTGGGGAGTGGTCGACTTGGTGAATTTGGCAGGTGGTCGTTGACTTGGGTGGTTGACGAGCACGTACAACTATTGACGGAATACTACCGTGCAAGTCGACGCTGACTTGTTGGTGTCCCGGTCGACCAAGTTACTAGGGAGACGAGATTCTCTGAGGGTGCGCGGCAGTCACCCAGGAGATTCTGGCAAAGCCGACCTCGGGGGCGTTATCCCGAGGTCAACGTGGCTGATCAGGTTGACCTGAATGCGAATTCACAGAAGCCATTACTCATAAAATTAGCATGTGCTCGGCTCAAGACATTTAAATACGACCCAAAAGATGTTCCAATGCTAGCGTGGCTGTACCCAGATTTGCGCAAGGTCCTGATGATGAATGAGTGCTTGAGGGGATTGTTAGAAGAATGAACGAGAATGAATGAACTATGAAAGAGTTGGGTACAAGTACTAACCCTAATTGGGTTGTACCCCTTATGGGCTACCCCACTATAGCCTACACAACTATAAGCATTATAACATTTTGACACACCCCCATAGGCAAAGTGGGGGAGAACAAGTGGTCACAAGACCAGTCAAGAAAAGCAAAGCAAGCTCAGGGTGGATCACAAAGTCACCACAAAGTCTGAGCACAAGCAAATGGCCACAAGGCCAGTTCACATGTATAGTTATATAAAAGAGAACAAACAATACAGTGATCACACCCTAGCAAGTGTAAGCATGCAGGTATATATATAGATCACAGTACAAGCAAAGTCACGCAGTGAGCAAGTGAGGCAAAGTAGGCACAAGGCCTAACACAGTAGAGAAGCGCTGATGATCACCAAGCGGAAGTGCCTTGGTGAATATATCAGCAGTGTTGGCCCTAGTGGCCACATACGCAAGACGAAGCTGGCCACAATGCTGCAACTCTCGTGTAAGGAAGTATCGCAGAGCGATGTGCTTCATTCTGTGCTCCAGTCTGTGCTCCTGACACAAGGCAATCATGGCCTTGTTGTCTACGTACTGAACTGGAGGCGAACGAGGCTGCTCTCCCAAGTCAGTCAGCAGGTAGGTGAGCCAGCGTAGCTCCTGTGCAGCCATGGCCCCGGCGTAGATCTTGTTGGTGTAAAGGGCCTAATAACTCAGGCTATTAAGACGTTATCCAACTTAAAACCTCTCCTCGGGGTCACCTCCAAGGGTCCCTAGGTGCTTGGTACAAGACCAGCCCCTATCCTCGGGTCCGAGTTTGTTAAGAGAGATCAAGAGGGACTAAGTTAAAACAGCAAGAGTACCTTGAGCGTCGCGCAGTGTGCCGTGCAGACCGTGGATCGGATAAAGCTGAGAACTTGCTATACCGAAGCTCACTCTAAGAGCTTTCAAAAGAGCCAAGTTGCCTCGCGAAAAGTTCTGCCATTGCAGGGTTATGGCTTGGACAGCGTTTTGTCAAACATTAATCACATAGCCTGTTTAGGCTGTAGTGGGGTAGACACTATGGGGTACAGTTCTTAGGGTCTCATATTTGTACCCAGCTCATTTCCTAGTCAATCATTCATTCCTGTTTCTTCACATGGTATAGAGCGGGTTCCCTACTGGGACCGTTCCTTCCTAAGGGCCCACCGTTAAAATTTTTTTTTTACCTACCTGCCCGAAGCGCGCTTTGCGCTCTGCCCTACGCGGCCCCTTTGCGGCCCCCTAGTGGCTTTCTCTGCCCTACGTGCCCCCCCCCCTTTGCGGCCTGTTGACGGCCCCCTTAGAGGCCCCACTGCGATCCCCGCCCCGGCCCTGCCCAGTCGCCCGAAGCCGCCCAGTCGCGGCCCCCATCGAGGCGTTGCCCCGGCCCTGCCCGTCGCCCATTGCGACCCCGTCGCGGCTCCGCCCCGGCCCCCCGTCGCTTGTCGCGGCCCGGCCCCGGCCCTTCCCCGGCCCCGTCGCGGCCCCGTCCCGGACCTGCCTCGACCCCGGCCCTGCCCCGGCTTTGCCCCGGCCCCGTCGCGGCCCCGCCCCGGCCCCCCCCGTCACTTGTCGCGGCCCGGCCTCGGCCCTTCCCCGGCCCCGTCGCGGCCCCGTCCCGGACCTGCCCCGACCCCGGCCCTGCCCCGACCCTGTCGCGGCTCTGTCCCGGACCTGTCGCGGCCTCGCCTCGGCCCTGTCCCGGCCCTGCTCCGGCCCTACCCTGGCCTTGCTCCGACCCTGCCCCGGCCCTGCCCCGGCTCTGCCCCGGCCCTACCCCGGCTCTACTCCTGCTCTGTCGCGGCCCTGCCCAGGCCCGACCCCGGATCTTTTGCGGCCCGGCCCCGGCCCTGCCCCGGACTTGTCGCAGTCCTGCCCCGACCCTCCCCCGGCCCTGCCCCGGTCTCACCCCTGGTAAGAGCCAAGCCGCGCTGCCGAGCCGCGCCGCCCTGCCGAGCTGCCCTGCCGAGCCGCGCTGCCCTGCCTGGCTGAGTTGCACTACTGCTGCTTCTAGTCTGCTGCTGCTCCTGTTATGGCTAGTCCCAGTGTTCTTACCTTTGATGCTGAGGGTCGAGCGGTTGACTTTGTGGTCTGGTTAGATGATCTGCAGCTTTTCCTACAGTGCGATAGCAAGGATGGTCTCTCACTGTTCGATCTCACGTCTGGCGCCTCTACTGCCCCTGCTGCTGATGTTGACAGTACTGTTCGCTCGCAGTGGCTCACGCGCGATGCTGCTGCCCGCCTTGCTGTGCGTAGTCACCTACCGTCTACTGAGCGCGCGCACTTTAGTCAGTACAAGAGTGCTAAGACTCTGTACGACGCTGTACAGTGAACGAAATAATTGTCCACATGTTCATGTTTCAAGACATGAACGGGCATTAGTGGCCATGGTGATTAAGCCTTAATAACTGGACCACATGGGGTTAAAGCCCGAAGGGTTGTACATCTAAACACGCTGCATGTTGGTCATAAACTCGGTTAAACAATCAGCAAATATAGAAATAGGCAAATACTAGCATAAGGACAGTTTTTTACAATTACTGTCACACATGCAAACCAAGCAGAATCTAGTACTTGGTTCAGCGACCCTTGGCCTTGAGCACAGCCCGCACACGCCTAGGCATGCTGTCGATCAGCTCACTGCACCAAGCCGCAGGGATTTTCTCCCATTCCACTTGTAATCTGTCCCATAGCTCGAGAATGCCTGCAGGGGGGCGGGGGTAAGCAAGCAGCTGCTTCTTCAAGTAAACCCACAAATGTTCTATGGGGTTGAGGTCCGGACTAGATGCTGGCCATGGGAGCACAGAGTACAGCTGCTCGGCAAGGTATGTTTTGACCATCTTGCATGTATGCTTCGGGTCATTGTCATGCTGGAACACAACGGTCTCGGGATCCAACTCATAATGCTCAATAGTCTGCTGCAGCTCGTCTTGCAGGATTGAACGGTACAACTCGCCGTTCATTCTTCCCTCTATCTTGCACATGAAACCCCCGCCGTTGTATGTCATGCACCCCCAAATCATGATGGAGCCGCCGCCATGTTTGACGGTCTATTTCACATGGTGTGGCTCCATGTGACAGTCCTCCCTAATCCAGGCCCAACTACGGCCGTCGCTACTAAACCGGCAGATCTTCGTTTCGTCGCTCCACACCACACGTTTCCAATCGTCGATCGTCCAGTGCTGATGGTCCTTGGCCCACTGCATGCGGTCCTTGACATTTTTCGCGGATAATCTAGGCTTCGACGCCTTTTCTATCGCCCTAACTCTGTGCCGCTTGAGAGTGTTTCGCATGGTGGCGCCCGTGACACTGATGTAGTGCGTAGAGGATATCATTCCCGCTGCGGCCTCGGAGGTTTTGGATTCACCAGACACTATCGACCTTATAACTATCCTCGCGATTTGCTCAGGTAACTTGCGCGGCCGACCAGGTTTCGCCGGGGACGGCACTAGCTCGTCGAACGTTTTCGGACCGAGGTGGCGGAGGAGCTCGTCAAGGACGGCAGACTTTGAAACTCCCAACTCCTGCGCGATTTGGCGGTAACTACGCTCCTCCGCAATTCGCTGCATGATGCGCTTCTGTTTCTCCTCGCTAAGGCGCTTCATGCTACGGGGGTGTTAGCGCTACTCGTAGATCGTAGTATCCGCCTGTAATCTCCTCTGTACCTAACTAGTCTAGATCTAACAGCGCACGAAATAAGGCTCGGGACAATTCGGAAAGATTTGTCCGTGTGGGGTGTCGAGAGGGAAGAGCTGACTCATTAGAGCAAGAGGTTTTTTTGGGGCTATAGGTAGGCTACACAAACTTGTAACTGTCAATCGCGAACCCTGTATGCAATATGTTTATTACAAAATTTGTTTACGCCCCAATTGGGTGCAAGTTATCATACATTTCGAATGCATAAGGACAATAATTTCGTTCAGTGTAGTTG